AAGCATGTTCATTTTGCATTTCAAGCAGACACTGTTCTAATTCTCCTAGCAACACAAAAAAATAGTCAAGTAAAGCAAGTCTTTGCATCAGATACCAGTATAACCTTCAATTGATAAACTTTATGAAATAAAAAGTAAGAAGTCAGAAATGGGCAGATATAAAAGGCAAATACAAGTTCAGTCTTTCTTGGTATCAGCAAGTATGGGCATGAACGGCACTGTTGGTAACGACTCATCTCAATGTCTGCGTTCAATACATACATTTCCTTGACTAGGACAAAGCAAACATTTGATGGATAAACATAAGTACATGGAAAAATAGGTGGAAACAGGACCAGGTGTTATTTTCTTTGTAACTCACCCAGATGTATCCCTTGAACAACTAAAGTGGTTCTAAAGTTAAAACGTTTTATACCTTAATGCACTCCCTGCATTAAAGTAAAAAATGTTTTAGCACTTACTGTGCCTTGTTCTCTCAATCTAGCACTTTGCTCAGCTGCATCTCTTTTCTCCCTCTTCCTAGTCTCACAGGAGACTCAGGCAGCAGCAGTATCCATTGGCTCCTAGTGCTGCCAATCAAATCATGTGAAGAGGGAGTGGGGGGGTGGGGCTGAGCAGGGCTGTGTGTGCCTCTATGGAGTGAGCCTGCACAAGTTCCCCACAGCTCGTGGTATGCTATGGGGGCACATGAAGGACAGCGGACTGCACCAGTGCGGGCCTCTAAAAGAGGAGGTAAGAGGCTGCCTTGTGCAATACAATTCCACAGGGATGCTAAGTATAAGATCTTTTTTCATTTTAATAAAAAAAATGCTTTACAATCACTTAAAAGGATATCTAAACCTAAGCTAAGTATATATTCTGCAAGTACAGAAAACTATTTGTTGATCCTGAGAGAAATCTTGTGTCCTTGTCACTTCCTGTGCACTGAACTGAAATCTGAAACAAACAATATTTTCAGCTTTCCCATTTATCTTCGAGAGATACTCAACCCCCATCCCCTATTCTCATGTTATAGAGTGAAGGAGAAGAGAAGGTGTTCTGTAATCCATATCAGGAGAGTTTCTCAAAGGTATCAAAATTATTTTGACAGTGCCCGCGCTTCACTTCACCTATCTACTATTGCATGAAAATATACACATACAGGAAAAACAATTCATCAAAAATTAAATTATAAATTATAAGCGATATTATCCACTTTCAATCTTCTTTGTGCAAGAAAACTAATTTCCACTTCAAATTGCACTTAGAAATGACAATACCGCTTTGTGCCAAATGTAATCACATATCTGTGAGTGCCCTCCACCAGATGTGCTCTCACCTAGAAAAAATGACCGAACCATTAAGTAAGGACTTGTGTGCTTCATATAGGGCTCAAAGTGACATTCCCACAAGGATGGATGGGATTCTTCTTTTTGAACTGCTTGCTTCTCCTACGTTACTCCTCCTCCACTCAGCAATTCTCCTGGAAAAAATGACTGAATTGTTAAGTAAGGTCATATAGCACTTCATATAGGGCTCAAAGTGATAATCCCACATAGATGGATGTGATTCTTCTTTTTGAACTGCGGGCTTCTCCTACGTTACTCCTCCTCCTCACAGTGAGCATAAATTATTGTTCCATCAAAAAAATACAGGCTGAAGAAGAATTACATCTATCTACAGTCAGGTCCATAAATATTGGGACATCGACACAATTCTAACATTTTTGGCTCTATACGCCACCACAATGGATTTGAAATGAAACTAACAAGATGTGCTTTAACTGCAGACTGTCAGCTTTAATTTGAGGGTATTTACATCCAAATCAGGTGAACGGTGTAGGAATTACAACAGTTTGCATATGTGCCTCCCACTTGTTAAGGGACCAAAAGTAATGGGACGGAATAATAATCATAAATCAAACTTTCACTTTTTAATACTTGGTTGCAAATCCTTTGCAGTCAATTACAGCCTGAAGTCTGGAATGCATAGACATCACCAGACACTGGGTTTCATCCCTGGTGATGCTCTGCCAGGCCTCTACTGCAACTGTCTTCAGTTCCTGCTGTTCTTTGGGGCATTTCCCTTCAGTTTTGTCTTCAGCAAGTGAAATGCATGCTCAATCGGATTCAGGTCAGGTAATTGACTTGGCCATTGCATAACATTCCACTTATTTCCCTTAAAAAAACTCTTTGGTTGCTTTTGCAGTATGCTTTGGGTCATTGTCCATCTGCACTGTGAAGCATTTGGCTGAATATGAGCAGATAATATTGCCCGAAACACTTCAGAATTCATCCTGCTGCTTTTGCCAGCAGTCACATCGTCAATAAATACAAGAGAACCAGTTTCATTGGCAGCCATACATGCCCACGCCATGACACTACCACCACCATCCTTCACTGATGAGGTGGTATGCTTAGGATCATGAGCAGTTCCTTTCCTTCTCCATACTCTTCTCTTCCCATCACTCTGGTACAAGTTGATCTTTTTCTCATCTGTCCATAGGATGTTGTTCCAGAACTGTGAAGGCTTTTTTAGATGTCGTTTGGCAAACTCTAATCTGGCCTTCCTGTTTTTGAGGCTCACCAATGGTTTACATCTTGTGGTGAACCCTCTGTATTCACTCTGGTGAAGTCTTCTCTTGATTGTTGACTTTGACACACATACACCTACCTCCTGGAGAGTGTTCTTGATCTGGCCAACTGTTGTGAAGGGTGTTTTCTTCACCAGGGAAAGAATTCTTCGGTCATCCACCACAGCCAATATTTATGGACCTGACTTTATGTGGGAATATCACTTTGAGCCCTATATGAGGCACACAAGCGCTATATGATCTTACTTACCTGTTCAATCATTTTTTCCAGGTCAGGGCACATCCAGTGGAGGGCACTCACAAATACGTGATTACATTTGGCATAAAGAGGTGTTTGCATTTAAAAGTGCAATTTGTAGTGGAAATTGTTTTTCTAGCACAAAGGAGATTGAAACTGGACATTATCGCTTATAATTTAATTTTTGATAAATAGTTTTTTCTATATGTGTATACTTCCAGGCAATAGTGAATAGGAGGGGTGAAGCGCGGCACTGTGTGAAATAATTCTGGTTACACAACATACTGGATATGAGACTGTGATTAGTGTGGGAGGTTGACTGAGGTTTTGGTTTTTTAATTTTAATTTTGCATGTAGCTGCTCACATGGTTTTGGTATTCGTATTATTTCTCAAAAGGTGACAACTCTACTTCTCTATAAATACAGCATGCTGTTGTCACCCTGGGACAGGAAGCATTTTACTGGTGGGATCACTGGGAAAAAATAAATGAAAAAAAGCCTGAAAATGGTAAACTAATGCAGCCACCCAATCGGAGGATACAATAAGCTGCAATACATTACATTTCTGTTTTTGAATTTAGGTATACTTTAACACCTTCTTACCTTTTCTACAAAAAAAAAAAAAAAAATATATCAGTGCCTTTTACACAGATTTCCCAACAAGTAAGGAAAGGTCTATGTGAAACACTGAGTACTTCCAACGGTTTGAGGAGCTAGTTATTTTATTTACAGGGAATCTCTACATAGCCAATAGACAAAAGACAATGCTTAAGTTGGCAAGAAATCAGGCTTTGTAAATCCTCCCAATGGTAGACATCAATTCTTTGTTCAATGTTTACTTCATTATCTTTATTAAAGAATAAGTTCACCTTTGGGAACGTGTTACATGTTCCACCTGTTTTACATATAACATATTCCCGATCCTGTAGACGCCGCATGATCCCCACCTCCCTGTGACAGTAGTACGGGGAGAAGCTCCCCATACTAACTGTCACTCTTTAAAAACAGTGCGGACACGCGGGGCTCTGCCCAAACAGCTGTGTCAGTCATTCACAGTGTTCTCAATGAACTACCACAGCTCTTTGAGCGTTGTGGTAGTAACTGACTCTTCCTGTCAGTTACTACTGATGTACAAGCAAACAGATACACTGACATTCTGAAGGAGACCTGTATGGCACCAGCAATCTGCTGAATGCTTTCTGGACTCCTACTACAAAAAAAATAATAAATTCACATTTTTTATCCTATAAAAAAAAATGTGCATTTATTATTTTTGTAGAAAGGTGAACTTATCCTCTAAAGCAGGAGTCTCCAAACTTTCTAAACAAAGGACCAGTTTACTGTCCATTAGACTTTCCGGGGGCCGGACTGTGGCTATTGGGAGTACAAATTGTCCTGGCATCAGTGGGAGTAAACAATGCTTCTTTGGTATTATGGGGAGGAATAGTGCCCTTTCATTGGTGTAAGTGGGAGGAATAGTGCCCAGTTGTTGGTATCAGCGGGAGGAATAGTCCCCCATTATTGGTGTCATTTTGAGGAATGGTGTCCTATTGTGTCAGTGGGGGGGAAATAGTGCCCCATCAATGGTGTCAGTGGGAGCAATAGTGCCCCATCATTTATATCAGTGGGAGGAATAGTGCCCTATCATTGGTGTCAATGGGAGGAATAGTGCCTCATTGTTGATGTCAGTAGCAGTAATTATGCCCCACTGTTGGTGGGAGGAAAGAAATAGTGTCTTGTATCAATGGGAGGAAGTGTCCCAAGTGCCAGATAAAAGTAAGCAAAGAGCCACATCCAGCCCCCGGGCTGCAGTTTGGAGACCACTGCTTTAACCGCTAGCCTACAGGGCACTTATACCCCCTTCCTGGCCAGGCCAATTTCCAGCTTTCAGCGCTGTCGCACTTTGAATGACAATTGCATGGTCATGCAACACTGTACCCATATGAAATTTTTATCATTTTTTTGTGACAGATAGAGCTTTCTTTTGGTGGTATTTAATCACCTCTGGGTTTTTTATTTTTTCTTAAACAAACCAAAAACCACTGAAAATTTTGAAAAAAAAAGTTTTTTCTTAGTTTTTGTTATAAAATTTTGTAAATAAGTGATTATTCTTCTTCACTGATGTGCGCTAATGAGGCTGCACTGATGGACACTGATAGGTGGCACTGATGAGGAGGCACTGGTAGGTGGCACTGATGGGCAGTGATCAGGCATCACTGATGGGCACTGATATGTGGCACTGATAGGCGGCACTGACAGGCACTGATAGGCGGCACTGTCTGGCACTGTTAGGTGTCACTGACTGGCACTGATAGGCAGCACTGACTGGCACTGATAGGTGGCACTGACTGGCACAGATGGGTGACACTGAAAGGCAGCTCAGATGGGCACTGATATGTGGCATTGATGTGCACTGGTAGGCACTGATATGTGGCACTGGCACGAGGCACTGATGAGCACTGACATAAGGCACTGATGGACACTGACAGGTGGCACTGCTGGGGCTACACTGATCATCAAGGCACACTGATCATCAGTGCCCTGATGATCAGTGTACATGTCGCCTCCGCTGAAAGCCGATTACTGGCTCTCCTCTGCTCTCGAGCTGTCAGCGTGACAGCTCGAGAGGAGAGAAATGCCGATATCCGGCATTTCCCTGTTTACATGTGATGAGCTGCGATTGGACACAGCTGATCACATGACCGAGCCGACATCTTCGGCTCTTTCAGTGATCGGTGATCCGCTGTGTCCGACAAGGGACACAGTGCACCGCCGATCGCCGCTCTGCGTGCTCCCTGAGCCGCGCATGCGCAGTGAGAATAGGAGGACGTCATGTGACGTCCTCCCAGAACAAGAGAACCACCTTGCGCCCGTCATATTACTATATGGCGGGTGGGAGGTGGTTAAAGTGTAATTATAGGCAAAACTAAATGAAACCCCATCAGGTTTCATTAACATCCTATTGCTGTTACAGAGGTTTACCCTTACTTTCTGTTCTGGGAACAACCTTTTACCAGACTGGAAGTGAGGAAAAACCTGCAAAAGGGAAACAAACAAGAAAAATCTGACAGGGGTTTTAGCATCTCTCTACATAATCTAAAAATATTTTTTTGTGTGTGTGTTGCTATTAGAGAGTTTTTTTATTTAAAATACTTTTCTTGAGGGTCACAGTGCATAAACTTCTCCTGTTACCCCGAGTCAGCTGATAGCAGGCTTTTGCCCACTATTCACTAACGTAGCAGAGCCATATCAGGCTATCAGGCTCGGCAACGATCCCAGCAGTCACAGGATAGATCAGTTCTCGGTCTTTCCAAGCTGCAATGTCACATCGATGCTGCAACATGGAGGTAAATATGTATGTTTGTTTTGGGTTATGGGTATAGATATACCTTAACTTCTATTTCTTTTAGAGATACAGTATAGTCAATCTAAATTGTTTGAGACTTTCTTGGTTAATCTTTAAAGGAGAAGTAAAGCCAACGCTTTTTTGACTGTACTACTATGGATCACAGGAGTGCAGTTCTCTCTGCACTCCTATTACCCTTTTAGAGCTGACAGCGGGCTGAATCCTGATGTCGAGTAATGTCACAGAGAAGGTCCAGGCTGTGTAAAGATCCCGACCATATGGTCAGGATCCACCCTGAACCAGCACCTGGCTCAGCCTCTCAGAGACCTTCGGAATGCCTGAGCCAGCCCCTCCTGCCCCCTCCACAGTCCACCACTCCAGTAAGCGCAGGAGGTGCACAGCAGACAGCCGGTGACTGACAGTCACAGCTCTCTGCTCAAAGTGGAGCAGGAGAACTGAGCGATCATGGTATTTGATAGCTCAGTTCTCTGTGCAGAGGTGGCGGGAGACAGATGCAGCATTTGATTGATGATGCACCCACCTAGGTGAGTATATATATATATATATATATATATATATATATTTATATATATATATATTTTTTTTTTTTTTACAGAAAGCCATATTTCTCTTTTAAAGATATTTTTTTTCTTACCAGTGTGTTTATTATGCAACTCCCGATCTGTGTGTAGTCGGAATAAATTAAGTTTGAGTGTTTGCAACATGCTTTCCATGTGACACACACGATTGACAAGATTCTCACAAATTTTTCCACAATGTATCACCATCTCCAGAAAATGCTGATCTTGCTTTTACAGGGCTGATTGGGCGAAGAAACTCAGAATTTTTTTCATCCTCAAATTCCTTGCTGACAATCCTAAAAAAAAAATTTTAAGAAAAACGGATTAGAGGACACAAATAAAAACTCTCTTCATATCTCTTTTTTTGCTCTTCAGGTACACACATAAGGAACCTTCCTTCTGTTCATAAGCTTTCTTTCCTGTCACCACTTCTCAACAGATCCACCAAGATTTCTTTAAGAGTCCTATATTTCATGGAACTCCCACCTGCGTGCCATTATAGAGTTACTATCCCTCTAAAAATCTACATTGTCCTTAAGAAAAATAAAAAAAAAATGAAATATTAAACTCACCTTTAAATCTCCACAAATATATCCGACATTGATGGGATTTTCAGTGAAGTGAATATAGTCTGAATGATGTCACAATAAAGGATGACTTAGGCCTTCAGCAACCTTGAAAAGTTATTGTACAGTATTTCCAATGTTTTATTTTTTGGATGTACATGTTCAAGCAACTGGCTTGTTGTAAATAGTCTAAATTTATGGTATTAACTTAAAAAACACTTTATTTCTATATATAATGTTTGCAATTATATATGAACATGAAGCAGCCAAGACTTGGTCATTGAGTAAGAAGGCTTTTTTGTGCTTTGCAGAGCAACAAAGTGGTTATATGTTACTGCTTTTTGTCATAACACAAAGGTATGTTAACCCATAAAAACACTGCATTTTCTGTATGGCTGATAGTTATCACAACTGTTAACTAGAAAAGCTACAATTTCTGGGGAAATTGTGTGAAGTGTTCTTGCCTCCACCAGTAGTCTACAGCTCACACTCTAGCTTTTGTCACTCTACTGGCTGCTCACACACCTGGGGGGTTCTTATAGCAACTCACTCTACAGCAAGGGCAGAGAAGAGCGGTTAAAAACAAACTGCTCCAACTTGCTCACTTCACTGGCGGTTGCCCTCTTCAAACGGTTGTAGTTTAAAAATTATAAATCCTACACCGAAGAGCTTTATATTGTGAGAATCACAAGACCCAGACCTACATTTTGATGCATAGTATGTCTCTGAAATATTAAAAATGAAGGCACAGTCGCAGTTTAGAAATTGCCCTACAAATTTGAGGTGGCTAGAGTGGAGTTTCAATGAATGTCAATGGGCGGCGTGAGTTGCAAACAAATGGTCATATTGCGAAAACTATCAGGACTATGGCTTAGCTGTGGACATTTTTAGTGGCAGGAGGGATAGCTGAACGTTTTGCTATAAGATTTGTGTAGGTGGGCTTGAAAATGAGGGAGTGATGGCAGTTTAGAAATCATGTCCTGATTTTTCAGCTCAAACTCTAGCTTTTGTCAGCTCCCACTCTAGTTTTGAACATTCCGCCATTCATTCCTATGGGACCAATTTCACCAGAAAAACTCCGATATTTCGTGAACCATTCGGCGAAATGTTCCACAAAGTAATAGCACACCAATCAGGAACAATCTGCACGTTTCGGTATATTACTGTCTATGTAGTGTAAAAACTGTGGGAGGAGTTAGGGTGGTAAATTTGGCTATAATAATAAGAATATATATATGTGAGATAACAGTAACATGCAAGAACACTTAAATATGGATCTAAAATAAAAAAAAGTTAAGATTTGCTATGTAATAGGGAAAAAATTAAAATTTTAATTGTACTTAACCAGGATAATGGAAAAATTGCTTGGAATTCTTCCTCAAAATTGGCAAGCTTGGGTATGTTAAGGGTGCCTTGGTACTCCTGCGTGTATGTCTGCAGTATGAGATAAAGGTACTGCTGCCTATAAATGCTAGTCTCATGAGACATGAAGTGAAATTTGGTGATGTCACTACTGTGCTGTTCACTGTTGCTCTTGCTGGAAGCTCTGACATGAGGAAGCAAGCTGCCTCCACACAGAGCACAGGGGTAAATTTACTAATGGGTATCACATGCAATATTTGTGTTTTTTTTTTTGGAAATATTGCAGACAACAATAAAAGAGTCAGTTCATCATAGTAAAATATCAAATTTGTGGTAAATATTGCAAATGCATTACAAATGTTAAAGTGGTTCTAAAGGTTTTTTACCTTTATGCATTCTATGGGGGGGTTCGGAGCTGAGCCGTGGCTCTATATATCTTATGGTCGCATAGAGCAGCGGCTCAGAGGCGAGCATGCAGCAGTGCCCCCAAGGCAAACGGTTGTCTCTGGGGGCACTTCTCTAGGGGCAGGAGCCAGGAGCACTGGAGTGGACCCAAAAAAAAAGAGATTCAGGCAGCTGTGTGCCAAACCACTGCACAGAGCAGGTAAGTATTACATGTTTATTTTATAAAAAAAAAAAACCAAAAAAAAAATGAAGCTCTAGTATCACTTTATAGGAAAAAAATGGGATAAATCATTAAGCGGTATTAAATCCAAAACTGCAGCTTCCCAGTCACTAGATGTAGTGGCTGCATTAGTTTTCATTTTTGTAAGCCCTTTTCCTTCTGTTTTCACCTGATGATCTGGTCAGTAAAACACCTCCTGGATGAAGGAGCACTGGGGACACCTTTGGACAGCAGCATGGTCAGTCTGGGGGAGGGTAGTACAGGTTTTAAGCAGTTACAGCAACATTTTTTTTTCCTTCTGGGGTAAAGGTCTTACATAAAAAGTGGTCATTGTAAGAACCCCTGTCAGTGGTAAATGATTTGACTCATCTTTCTATCTGCTACATCTGTAGGATGCCTGCCTGTTCTGTTGAAAAACAACACACTTACTGGCAGGACCAACAGGTAAAAGTAAAAGAAAGAAAGCCTAGAAAAAAAAAAAAAAAAAAAAAAAAAAAACAAATAAACCTAATGCAGCCATCACATCTAAGAATTGGTAAGCTGCAATATAATAAATGTTTACTTTTGGGTTTAATACTGCTTGAAAGTGAATTCACTAAAAAAACCAAACAAAATACATGCAGTGAATATTTTAGGAATTTACAAAATAACCAGGCAGGGAGCTCTGCACTGGCCAAAAGGTTAAAAGTATACAATGTAGCAGTGTGGAGATATTCTGCCCTGAGCTCAAGAATGGATATGCATTGTAACTTTTCACTTGGAGATCTTTCTGTGAATGAAGGCACAAAAAGAATGTGTCTTGCAGGGGTACCACAGGCATGTTCTCTGTCTTTTATGGGCACATCTTCAAGAGTTTTTTCCCCTTTAAAGGATTGGAACATGATACACCAGGACAATGCCCCTCATCCCCCCTCCCCAAATTCCCTCCCTGACAGTAGGCAGGGGTTCCTCTTCGCTGCAACCACTGACAGATTTAAAATCACTGTCATTCATTTACAGTGATCTGTGAATTGATAAACTACAAGTGCCATCTGCCACTGCAGCTGATTGCTTGTATTTCTCAATGATCAGTGCATTCATAGTCCACTGAATCTTATTCCAGCTTTCTAACTCAAATCAGGCAGAGCGATATGAGCAGAAAGTTAGAGGGAGAGTATGTAGGAGCCTGATGTTGCACCCATGATCCATTGATCACCGTTGCAATACTTTGCAGGCTCCTGTGTAAAAAAAAAAATAAAATGCCTATTTTTTACCTGCAAAAATATGTACA